CCTGGGGCAGGGGGCGGGGTGCAGCTGGGACGGGCGCGCGCCCTGAGGGCCGAGTCCAGAGGACGCGTCGAGCGCGCGCCCGCTCGCCCGCCGGCCGCTCCTCCTCTCAAAGCCGCTGTATTCTAGTCCTTGCTGTCCCACAGGCAACAGTCCTCCTCTGCGCCCTGAGACTCGCCTCCTCGGGCACCTCCCTCCCCGCCACAGACCGCCTCTTCCCTCTCACTCCTGGATACCTCAGGCAGAGCCGCCCTTCATTCATTCCTTCACCCAACATGGCACACACAGCCAGTCACCTTCCTTCCCTGTGCAGGGAAAGGGTTGAGGTTCTGGGTCCCAAGACTGGTCATCATGTCCCCAAACCTTCGCAGCAGCCCACTCCAAGGCAGCACGTATCCCAGCAGGTCCAAGATCCTTAAGGGTTCCAGTTAGGGCTTTCAGTTAACCCTGGACCATGGCGAGTCTAGTCAACTGAATGGGGCAGCGCGGTCCAATAGTTTGAAAGACACAACACCCTCGTTCTAGTTTGCTAGGGCCGCCATTGAGTACCACAGACTGTGTAGCTTAATATAATGGAAATGCATTTTCTCTCGGCTTTGGAGACTGAAATCCTAATAAGATCAAGGCACGGATACTCTGGTTCTTCTGAGATTTTTCTCCTTTGGTTGTAGATGTTTGTCTTCTTGTGTGATCACACGGCCTTCCCTTGGTAGCTTCTATTTTTAAATTTATTTTTGTTTTATGTGTATAAGTGTTTTGCCTGCATGTATGTATTTATGCCTTCGGAGGCCAGAAGACCCCATTCCCATGGAACCGAAGTCAGAGATAGTGTGAGCTCGGTAGGGGCCAGGAATCTAACCTGGGTTCTCTGTAAGAGCAAAAAAATGCCCTTAACCACTAAGCCATCTCTACAGCCCCTAACCACTTCTTATGAGGAAGATAGCTCAGGGGGTAAAGGCACTTTACTTTATACCCTGACAACCTGAGTTCGATCCCCAAGGCCAGTAGGGTGGAAGGAGATAACTGAGTTTTGAAAGTTGTCCTCTGACCTCCCCATGAGTGCTATGGATACACCCCTATAAATACATGCATACATACATACACAGGTGCTTTAAATTATTTTAAATAAATAAATGTTTCAATTTGTTTTAAGAAACAAAACCAGATCTTGTATGGTGGAGCCCTTGAGGGGTGGAGGCAGGAGGATGGAGAAGAGTTCAAGGCCAGCTTATGCTTTAAGAGGTACTGTCGCAGGCTGGAGAGATGGCTCAGCAGTTAAGAACACTAGCTGCTCAATTCCCAGCAACCACCCAAGATGGTTCACATGCATGCAGGCATATGTGCAGATAGAGCTCTCATGAACATAAAATAAATAAATCTTTAAAAGAGAGAGAGATGCAGTGTCTCTTAAAAAAAAGGGGGGGGACAGAAAAAACTTATTTACGAAATAAATGTAGGCAAGGGAGATAGCTCAGTCAGTTTCTAAGCATGACCTAAGTTCAATCCAGTTAGAAGAAGCAGCAGCAGTAGGAAGTCAGTCATGATGGTCCACATTTATAATCCCAACACTCCTAATGCTGAGAAGGCAAAGACAGGCAGATCACTAGAGTGCTCACTGGCCAGCCAGCTTAACCTGCTTGGAGAGCTCCAAGCCACTGACACTCCTGAGGAAGATCCTCGAGCACACGCGCACGCTCGCATGCACACACACACACACACACACACACAAATAAGAAAGACTGGTATACAACTAAAAGGAAAAGACAAAATAGCTAATAAAGCTTACCTGAAGATCAGAGTGTAGCACTAAGCCACAAGAAGCCAGGTGGTGGGTTCTCACACCTTTAATCCCAGCACTAGGGAGGTGGAAACAGGAAGAGATATGGCTGGGCAGAGAGGACTATAAGGCAGAAGGAGACAGGAACTCAGAGGCAACCTGGAGATGCATTCTGAAGCAGTCAGTCTGAGGATGCAGTCTGAGGACAGGAATCGCTCTTTTGGTCTGAGAAATTAGTAGAGGTAAAAGGTCTCCCTAGTGGCTGGCTGCTCTGCTTCTCTGATCCTTCAGCTTTCACCCCCTGATATCTGACTCTAGGTTTTTATTAAGAACAATTGGAATTCATACTACACTGATCCTTCTGCCTCCAGTTCTCAAGTGATGATGTTACAGAAAATTTTCATCATGCCCAGCATGAAGCTCATTTGTTTTTTTTAAAGATTTTTTTTTGTTGTTTTCTGTTATGTGAATATAGATGTGCTTGAGTTTGGGTCTGTGTATGTGAAGGTAGGGTGCACAGAAACCATAAGAGTGCCTCTGGTCCTGTGGAGTTAGATGTGTTGTGGAATATTTGGTTAACTATGCAAAGCTATGTTGTATCTGTTTAACCATGTAAAGATGTTTTGCATTTGTTTAATTGTGTAAAGATGTGTTGCTCTTTCACCTTGCCTGCCAAAGGCACCTGATTGGTTCAATAAAAAGCAGAATGGCCAATAGGGAGGGAGGAGGTATAGGCAGGACTTCTGGGAAAGAAGAAGTAAGTAGGAGGAGGAATTTAGGCTCGAAAGTGAAAGAAAGAAAAAGGGACATCAGGGAGACAACAGGGGTCAACCAGATATGGAGGAAGCAGGAAAGTAGGACATACAGAATGGAAGAAAGATAAAAAGCCCCAAGGTAAAAAGTAGATGAATAGAAATAGGTTAAATTAAGTTTAAAGAGCTAGTGAGACAAGCTTACGCCAAGGTTGAGCTTTCATAATTAATAGTAAGTCTCTGTGTCTTTATCTGGGAGCTGGGTGGTGGCTCGAAAATTCCAGCTACACTGGGGTAGTTATGAACTGCTGAATAGCCGGGCGTTGGTGGTGTATGCCTTTAATCACAGCTCTTGGGAGGCAGAGGCAGGTGGATCTTTGTGAGTTCGAGGCCAGCCTGGTCTACAGAGCTAGTTCCAGGACAGGCTCCAAAGCTACAGAGAAAACCTGTCTCAAAAAAACAAAACAAAACAAAACAAAAAACCAAAAACCAACCAAACAAACAAACAAAATAAATTGCTGAATACCAGCGCTGGAAACTGAAACTTGGTCCTCCAAAATAGTGGGATATATTTCTTTTCTTTCTTTCTTTCTTTTTTTTTTTGTTTTTTTCTTTTCTTTTGTTTTTGATATAGGGTTTTTCTGTGTAACCTTGACTGTCTTGAAAATCACTCTGTAGAACAGGCTGGTCTTGAACTCGAAGATCCACCTGTTTTGCCTCCCGAGTGCTGGGATCATCACCACCCAGCTAGTATACACTCTTAATGCTTGAGCATCTCTAACACCAGAGCTCAAGTTTCCAAACGTGGTAGCCGACCTCCTTCCCCACCCCCACGGCATTTCCTCACACAGTTAGGGATGAAGCTTAGTCAGCAGAGGCCTTGTCTCGCATGCAGGAGTCCTGGGTTCAATCCTCTACACTGCATAAACTGGACATGGTAGCATATGTCTGAAATCTTAGAACTTAGGTAGAGGCAGGAGAATTAGAAGTTCAAAGTCATCCTTACCCGCACACTGAATAAAAGGCTAGCCTGAACTGCATGAGACCCTGTCTCAAAACAAAATTATTTAAACATTGTTGGCCTGGTTTGAGGCAGACTGTCCCAGCCCTACCTCCTAACACAGTCTCTCCTCATTGTTTAGGCACCCTGACTGTTGGGCCCGCGGGGGTTGTGCAAAGATGGGGGACAGACAACCAAGGTCTATTAGTCTAGAAGCAAACTTTATTCCAGAAAAAATAAAAAATTACAAAAATAAATCTCCATGGGGCACAAAAAGCTTATCAGCTAGCTGAGACAACAGCCAGAGACGAACTTGTAAGGATGTGGCAAGGATGGTTTTCAGACTCCTCCTTTTTATAGCAAGAAGCAGCAAGCATTAGGCAATAATAAGGGAATTTTTACAATGTTCAGGTAAAACTCAGATACAAATTGCCCTTCTCTGCAATTTCCACTAACAGAATCTTTTTTTTTTTTTTTTTTTTTTTTTTTTTTTTTTAGTTAAACTAGTGTTTGTATTTAGCCCATTGTCTTCTTCTGGCACTTTCTGATGGTGTTTACCAAAGCTCCACACTCCCCTGATACCACCAGTTTTGTGTATCAGGGAAGGGTAAGAGAGAAAGAACAACCAAAAAGTCAGGTACATCCCATCATTTTAAAGCTAACTCAGCTCGCATCAATTGCTGGTCATGAGTGGTGGGGGGCGGGGGTTATCTAAAAGCTGTCCCACAGTTTGCAGAGGGCTGCTTCAGCCTTGCAGACAGAGCTATGGGTTGTAAAACAAAGTAAAGTTTGTAAAAACAAACTCACTGATAATAGTTGATCCTTAAGCTGCTGAGAAAGCTGCCAACAGCCTGCTCTCATTCTCC